AAAAATTACTATAAAATTATGTAATATTTAAATTATTATTCCCTACCGAATATTATAATAAAAATTATATGCAATTAGAGATTTTTCCGAACCATCACCCAGTTATACAACCTGAAATCGCTGAAACTTTCACAAATAAGACACCAGGTCAAAACAGCGTTTCTGCCTCGTGCTCACTGGCTGCAGAATTTCAGAAACCTCAGAAATTTCAGAAAAATCAGGATTTCTCTTTCTTTTGATCCCATCCGCATCGGGATGAGAAATTCACACCCCGCAACTGCACACACAAGTTTTTCCCTGACTGCTGTGGGTACAAAGGTGTTCGGTGTCCGTATTAAATCCAAATTGTAGATTATTTGAAAAAATTGAGGGGTTTTTACCCGATTAGGGAAATACTGTGATCTCTCAGATTAAATGACTTTAGTTTGTCGCTCACATCTGCAAAACCAAAATCGACCTGCTGCAGATCTCCTCCCAACCATCGGAGTCACAAAATACGGGAGAACTTGTATTTTAACCTGATTTTCTGCAAAACAATGCAGAAAGGATTATTATTATTCTTCACTAATTATACATTTTTTCAATATTTGGTTATTTGGTTAATAATAAGAGGTGTACCATAGGAAATGTAGGACCTCGGTAAAAACGTCAAGACATTAATAGACTGTTTGAAATAACGACCGTAAAGATAATGAGCATTTTAAAGCTCAGGCTAATTATTACTTGAAATGTGGTTGTCCCGAGAAACCACATAAAATGCAAATCAGTCGAGTTAAAATCCTGATTAAAAACATTGCTGGAGGACATAACCCTAAGCCCTTTGTAGACGGAGTTTGCTGCCACAGCAGCTTTAAACCATCTATAAAATCATACGTCCGCGCTGCAAAAGGAAATTGCTACGGCCCTAAGACAAAAAGAAAGAAAGAAAAACAAAAAAGTCGATTTAAATAAATTTTCTGTCACCTGGTCCTGATCCCAGCGGCACTGAATTCATAAAGGAGAAAATAACAGAGGTTCGTTGCTTGTTTTTAAGCAGAGCTCCACGCTTTTACAATTCGTACCAAAAAAAAAATAAATCCACATTTGAAACAAAGAACAAAGTTGCGTATTACGCAGAGTTTATCCCTGCCAACCCTTAAACGCAAAATTAATTTCCTCGCTGTCGACATAAATACGCCATAAGTCGGCTGAAAGCTGCAAGAATTGGAGTCTATAAAAAATGGGTGAAACGCAGAAGGATCGACTGTAATAAAATAAAGTCCATAAAGTTTAAGAAAGCGATAGACGGGCTACATAAACTTGGGTGATAAGGGGAATAATGAAGCTTGACTCAAACCACCACACACGGACAATACGGGTACGAGAAGACCAACTTTTTATTATAGCGATCCAAGTATTTTTAGAAGAACTACCAAGAGGGACGACTTCCAAAATAGAAACGAGCAGAAACCCAGGGTGATATAATAAATATCGATACAGAATTTCAGCGCTTCTGGAGGATCGGGAAGATTTTTGGACCACAGACCCTCGGGGACCACGTGAAGCCAAGCTCCGGACACGCAACCTTCTGTCTTGCACGCGCTGCCTGCTTTTTGGAGCGACGTCATTATATTTTCAGCTGCTTTGGGAATTCTTTCCACCAGAGAAGCAAAGCCAGAGAAAAGCGTGTTTTAATATTTGCTGGTATCTATTCGAACGTCTTTAACCACCAAAACGAAGCCGAGCAGCACACGATGCCCTGAAGGGTGTCTGAAGTTTTAGAGGTTTTTATTCCAACAACTGAATCTAAATTGGTGATAAAAATTGAAGGAGCCGAAAAGGCAGTATCCGCTGCGCTGATCCTGATGAAACCCAAACTCTCCTGGAACGCTCCTCAGTTTCTCCCAGTCCTGGTCCCAAATTGCTATAAAAATTAGTTCTTAATATAAGACATCTGCAAGCTGGGGTGGCCCACAGGGACCGTTCCCTCCGTCGCTTGACCATTTCCAATTAGGCAGCTCACGCCGCGCTGGCAGGGGAGGACGTCTAACCGTCCTCGTTAATATCCGACTTTAACGACCCTCGTTCCGGCTAAACGTCATCGTATCCCGATGCGGAGCAGCGAGGTCTGAAGCTCCCTCCAGAAACGAAGCGGCAATCAGCCAGCTAGGTGCTGGTGAAAATAAGAAGCTAATTAACTCACCAGCCACCCGGGCACGTGGAAAGCAGAGGCGCCGGCGTTGCTGTCCCACTTCTCCATGGGTGAAACTCGCCTCGCTCACATTGGTTTGGCAGCGGGACGCAGCGGGACGCAGAGGGACGCAGAGGGACGCAGAGGGACACAGCAGGGTGCAGAGAGGTGCAGAGAGGTGCAGCGGGACAGAGCAGGATGCAGAGGGATGCAGAGGGATGCAGGGGGATGCAGGGGGATGCAGAGGGATGCAGAGGGACGCAGAGGGACGCAGAGGGACAGAGCGGGATGCAGAGGGATGCAGCGGGACGCAGAGGGACGCAGCGGGACGCAGCGGGATGCAGAAGGACACAGAGGGACACAGAGGGAGGACACAGAGGGACACAGAGGGACACAGAGGGATGCAGAGGGACACAGCAGGACGCAGAGGGACGCAGCGGGATGCACCAGCCCAGCAGCCAAGACCCCCACGCTTGAGCTGCTCGCCGAGGGCTTCAGTGGACAGACCTTCTCCCAGCTGAGGTCTTCGTTATGAGCCAGCCTCGTTAGCCAAGCGTTCGGGGGTGAGACGGGCAGCTCGGTTCCTTATTTCTGTTCAAAATCCTGCTCAGATCCAGCCCATTTTTGCAGGCGTGATTTCACGCCGACCCCGGCTCTGCTCGACGTTTGAGCCGAGAGCAAACGAGAGCAAGCTCGCCGTGGCGTGGAGGAGACGTCCGTCCGTCCGTCCGTTCATCCATCCATCGCCTGTGCCCCCAGCCCTGCGGCACCGAAACGCCGATACCCCGATGGATACGACAGCAAGGTCAGAGAGGCACAGCTACATTTAGAGCTATCGGTCTTCTGCAACGAGGACTATACCTGGCACCATCGAAAGTTCACGCAACTTTAAACAAAACAGCACACGGACACCTCTCAGCGTTGAATGGCTTTCGGCTTCGGACTCAAGATAGTTAGAAATTAACTTCCTAATCCCGCAGCCAGAAGCAGGTAAATATTTTGAAATGATTTGCGTTTAGCCCAATCTCAGGGAAAAGCGGGGATGGAGCAGGCTGGCGGGGCTGCAGCTCCCTCTGCTGAGCACGCACAGCCCTCGCTCTGCAGAAGGGGAACAGGACAGAAATGAAGATTTTGTAGACAGAGCGATTGCAAAGGGATCTCCTGCTCCTCCAAAGGCACGTTTCCACGGCCGGAGGCTTCACAACAGCCCGGCCCGGGATACAAACACAATTTTGCCACTTTGCTGAAGACTTGAGTTGAGGTCCCAACTTAACTGAAACCTCTCTGGTTCGCTCAAAATAACGAAGGGTTCCACCCTCAGGAATTAATGAGCCACCTGTGACCGCTTTCCGAGCCCAGCGTGGTATTTTATCAGTACATTTCCACCCGCAACGCGAACAGGGCGAAGCGAAGGTGGGGCTGGGAGCATCTCGCTGGAGATGCTCATGGAAATCCTCCTTCTCCGCCAGGAAGGTCTGGCAGCTCATCAGCCCACACAAACGTTTTCCTTGGTTTACTTTCCTCCACACAAAGCATTTTATTTGGGGCAAGAGTTGACACAAACCTCCCTTCACCGACTTCCTCCTATTTTGGAAGCCGGGCAAGGAAGTTGGCTTGTGAGCCATCAGCTTGTGAGCCACCGGTAGACACGTCCCGTTGGGCTGCCAGCACAGAAGTTCCCAGGTTCTCTTCCTTGCTCTCTTCCCTCATCAGGTGAACAATTTAAATGCCAGAAATTTTGGAGTTTGCTGTTTCTGGCTAAGACAGGAGGCTACAGGTGAAAACAAGTCAAAGAGGTAACTCAAATCTTCCGGGCAAAGACCACGCACAGCCCAAGCCGAGTAGATAGATTTTGTCTGCATCACCACTCAAGTCAATTAGCAGAAACCGGGAAAAGTTCGTTATTTTTTTGGGTGATATTTTCACACCGTTGGCAAGCTCGCCCTTCCAGATTGAAAGAAGCTTCTGTTCCATGCTGCCTTCGAGCCATTCTATTCCCATCTCCAAGCAACACAAAGCCTAACTCGAGCCAGAAAACACCTCTGTATCCAGGCGCTCCCCGGAGCGGCGATTCAACCAGCCGCAGAGGCCGGTAACGTCCCCTCCTGCCGCAGGACGGACAGCAGAGCACAGCGGTCCCTGGTCGGGCAGACATCTCAGGAGTTCCCACCGGACCCAACGCAATGCCATTTTCCTGAATATGCTAGATGAGCGGCTTAATCATCAGAAAAACACGATCCGTCACCGCCTCAGTGTTTCCCAGTCCTTCACCACCAACGAACCATCAACCTTCCCAGTCTGGAGCCCAGGACACAAACTTACGGCTCAGCCCCTCGGGGAAAATGCCGGCAGGAACGCTCTGCTGCCACGATCGCTTCTCGCAACATCCCAACCACAACACCTCTGGCACCACCTTCCATTTTAAAGGGCTTTTTAGGCTTTCTCTCCGTTTGCATCAGCCCCGACATCATTTCAAGGCAGGTGAGAAAAGCGCTACGCAGCGCTCATCCCGTTCTTAAAGGGGCTGATGAGGAAGACGGGGACGGACTTTTTAGCAGGGCCTGTAGTGACAGGACGAGGGTAATGGCTTTGGACTAAAAGAGGGAGGATTCAGACTAGATCTGAGGCAGAACTTCTTCCCTGTGAGGGTGCTGAGGCCCTGGCAGAGGTTGCCCAGAGAAGCTGTGGCTGCCCCTGGCTCCCTGGCAGTGTTCAAGGCCAGGTTGGATGGGGCTTTGGGCAACCTGGGCTAGTGGAGGGTGTCCCTGCCCATGGTTGGACTAGATGACTGGTTTGGGTTTGTGTGGCGAGATTTGGGCAGCAGGGGGAGGCTACAGGGGTGG